AATAATAGTACATGAACGGTAACATACTCAACAAAAGCAGTAACATAATAAAAAAAATAGTAATATGAATTTATTTTTACTATTTAAATTCAAAGTATTTTTTTTATTTGAATGTTACTATTTTTTAATGTTAATCAAACTCTTAACCCATATATGGATATAGATAGATATGAGAGAGAAAATATTAACTTCTTTTTAATGAAAGGTATTTTTGAAATAAAAAAAAAAGTTGACTTAAATCATTATATATAATTTTAAATATAGACTTAGTCTCTTATAAGTTTCTTTATAGTACTTATCTCCAAACAAGTATAACTAGGGGTACTCACTTCTAATTTTCACTAAAATTTTTACAAGGCAAGAAGTACTGTTAGACTAAAGACTCATTGGTACGTATATCGTGAGTTAATTTGGAGAATTTATGATTTAATTTGAATCAAATTATAACATGAAACATTCAAATTCAACAACCGTGTATTGAAGTTATGGGCTATTGGTATTGAACAAGTGATGGCTCTTTAAGAAAAGTCATGGACTCGTAAGTGTTGAAGTCATGTAAGCGCAACTCGAGAAAGAAAAAAAAAACAAGGTGGGGAATTGGGAACAAGGTTCTTGGCAGAATAATGACTCATGAAGAACGATAAGAGTTTGGTTTTTTGAGAAACATACTCTTCTAAGTAATGGTTGGATGTATTGCTTGTGAAGAGTGGTGGATCAAACTTAAAACCCGACATTGTTCACACATGAGGGGAGATTGTCGGGTATTACATGTATGAGAATTTCACATCGGATAAAAAAATAACTTAAAATGTCCTAATATACAATGAATTAATTAACCACTTATGGACTTAAGTATTTAGGTGGTTATGGGTTTGAGACATGCATGTTGGGCCTTGGATCATGGACTTCTAGTTTCCCAACACATTTTAATGTCGATTATAAATAAATTTATTTTGTCGTAATCTCAATTAATTAGATCATAATAATACCTTTATTTTCAAGTGAAATCATCTCTAATATCCTGTTTTTATTCTAAAATTTTGTCCATGGTGTATAGGTCACAATGAATTCAAGAATGGCCCACAATTTACAAGTAAGTTTGTCATTGATATAGGATGATTGGTCTACTATCTAAGGAAATTGAAAGAAAGTATATTAGAGGAAAATTGATACTAAAAGTCACATTTTGTTACTTGTGGGTATAATTACAAGTTAATTGGGAGTAATAGAAGTTTTAGACTAGCCATTGGAAAATGGATCAAATGCTTTGCTATAGAGGTTTGAATGGTTTATAATGTTCCGTTTGGTAGGAATGATAGAAAGTATGATGAATACACTTTCTATCCTTCAAAGAAGAAAAGTAGGAATGATATACTTTCCTTCATTTGTGGTTAGTTGGATGGATGAAAAATAAAAATAACAAAATTTTTTTTTTTAGCTAGCTAAGATTAGAGTTGACAATCAAGTCATGTCATATCAGATTTGTATTGAGTCATTACAGGTTTGTGTTAAATATTAATCAAATTTAACTCAACTCATTTAATTAATTGTGTCGTGTCGAGTTGTGAATTGATGGTGTCAATTTTGAGTTTGACTGGTTGAACTGAGTATAAGTCTTTTATATTTTTTGTTCACGTGTGAGATCATTTTCAAGTTCGTGTCGAGTTATAATCAAGTTCGTTTCATAAATCTGTGTCGAGCTCGAGTTATGTTATCGTTTTAAGTTAAAAATTTTCACCCCTAGTTAAGATGGAAAAAAATATTTTTTAATTTAAAATTTTAATTTTTTATTTTAAATTTTTTTTAATATATATATATATACACACACATATATATTTTATCATTGTATTTTTATATGAAATTAATGTATACATAATATATGTATATATCAAAAGATATTTTTATATAATAAAGTAGAGCTGAGTTTGAATCTAGAGACAAAGAGAGGTTCAGATCGTTTTGAGACAAAACATAAACATATCTAACGAATAACGTAATCCCAAGATAAAAGACAGTTCAGGTCATTTCATAAATACTAATCTGACGGTTATAATTGAACTTAATTCTAATACTCATATCTCTCATATAACTCTATATCTCTCTCTCTCTTATCTTTTAGACGTCTTAAATACACTATCGTATCTCCTCTCTCTCTCTCTATATATCTATAAAAAAAAATAGTTAGATTATTTGTCTTTAGCTTTTCGCGGCTCAGATTATTTTGATCTGATGGTCCTAATTAGACTTTCATTTTTTTTACAACTTTAAGTCTCTCATATAATTCTCTTTATCTATCTATCTATCTTACACACACACTCTCTCTCATACTATTATTTTTTTTTTGTTTTTTTCTCTCTTGTGTTGTTTTTGCTGTTAGTTACTCTATAAAACATATGCAACTACATGTCATCCAATTATTTATTCCTTGAAACTAATTCAAAATTTTTATATATCTGACCGTATGTATTTTGTCACTTACTTCTTGATTTATAAATAACACTAAATGTAAATAAAAAATAGCACATTCACTCTAAACACCAAATAATATTTAACATAAAATGAATCTTAGATTGTAAACTAATATATATTTTTATCAAAAATTGACATTTAATTTTCTCTAATTTATATTCAACTTTATCGAATATCAAATTAATATTAAAATTTATTTAATCAATTTTTGAAGTACTAAATTATATCAATTTTTTGAATATTAAATTAATTTTTATTTTATTTTATTAAATTTTTAATTTTTTTGGTACTAAATTTGGAGAAAAACAAATGTAAAAATAATAAAGTTTTTTAAGATAAAATTATCAATTTTCATTTGCAACATTGACGAAAGGGAGACAAAGGGGGTCTCCGTGCAATGAATAACAAACCTCAGGGGGTCTTCGTGTTATTTATAAAATATCATGAGGTGTTTGTGTAATATTTCCAAAATTCAAGGAATATCCATGATTTTTAGTTTTTTTCCCTATTTTTTAATTAAACATTAATATATTATTATTTTACCTTAAAAACTTAAATTATTGTATTTTTAATAAAAGCAATTATTGGTTATAAGAGTTTGTTGGTAACCAAAAAAGAAATGTGTGAGTATGTTTTTGTGTATATTTACATGTGGAGGATTAAACATTTAGTGATTAAATTTATAATTATATTGTGTCATTTTGGGTTAAATGGTGACAGTGATGATAAATTTATGAGTTTATAAATGAGCAAAATTTGGTTGATTTTATTTACCGTTTAAAAATTGTGAATTTAATTGTATTCTGTTAATGTATATATATTTTTTTGTTTGAGGTATTTATTACATGGAGATAGGGTGGATTGAAAATATGGTAGTTGAGTTGATAATTATGTTGTGTTATTGGATGAAGTGGTAGTAGAGGTGATAATTCGTGAGTCTTATAAAAGAGCAATATTTAATTTATTACTTAAAAATTATAAATTTTAATGAATTCTGTTAGTAGTTTTTTTTTCATAGGCATTTGTATATATGGTGTTATTTTGGAGAGTTTTTATATATATTTATAACAACTCCATTAATATGGAGGATATAATCAACAATATATTTTGAGCCATTTTAAAAGAAGAATTTGTATGAATATTTTTAAGTCATTTCTTTTGAATTTGGACAATTGTTTAAAAAAAAATTATTTGTTGTATAGTACTTTCAGATACGGGTAATGACTAGTAGACAAATAAGATACATTTCAACACAAATAATTAACTTTTCATCTACTTTCCTTTCGATTTTGGAGAGATTAATTTTGGTGAGTTGGAAGAAAAATTAATCCATCCACTTTTCCATTCTTTCTATTTTCCTTCCTTATCAAACATGATGTTTTATTTATTCCTCTAACTTTCCATCCTTCCAACTTTCCATCATTTCAATTTTTCATCATACCAAACGGAGCATAAATTATGTTACTACATGTATTCCTATTCTTTTGAGTGGAACATATATTCCTACTCTTTACAAATATTCCTTAGCTCATGTCGAGTTATTACTAACAAAATCAATCGATCTCAAACATTGCATTTTATCGTCACTTCACCTGTTGAGTTTTATCTTACTCTGTAGCAACTTCGATTCACTACTATAATCTGTAAACAATAGCAATGTCAAAGTAAACTGGTAGTCCAAATCATTACAATCATATTATTCATAGAACTTCATGAGGGTAACAATGCCCCCACCGCTTATTAGAGTAAAAACAGGGTATTACACACTAGTAGTTCCATAATCTCATAACATCTAACTTACAGATACATCATAAACCAAATCCAACACATCTCTGCAAGCCACTTGTGGGCAAGGTATAGCCCATGATATCATCATACAGTTTAACAGTGTTCTTACATTAGATACTTAGAAAACCAATCCAACATGTCACAGTGTGCCTCCTCTGCACACTTAACAGCTACTTCATCTCCATCCTTGTACCTGACAGTCCAACCATGTGCAACCCCCGGAAATATCTTCACAAAGCCATCAACCTGGAAAGAGTAGACAATTAGTTAACTGCTGTGGCAGTAGACCACTTACCTAGATATAACTAAATCTGACTGACCACAATATGCTAAGTGCAACACAACTGTAGATGCAAGACATGAAAAAAAACACATTTAAATCAGATGAAGTCAGCGATACGTGAGCGAGCGCGGAGAAGGAAAGGCCAATAACTTCGGCCTAACAGAAATGAGAAACGACAAAATGACAAGATGATGTGGCCCGGACACCCCCATTTAGAAAGGCGGGTCAAAGGATTTGAGCCTGTAGCCTTCCCTGTCGCCCCTTCATTGGGCCGTGCTTGTGTGGGGGGTGCCCAACTTACACATCAGTCGATTATCTTTCTACGTAATTTCTAATAAATAAATGCATAATATACAGGAGGATATCAATAAAGTCAGTGATTTGTGAGTAAGGCAAGATTGATGCTGGTCACGATGAGTCTCATATCATCATCAACCAGCAGGAAGCCTGTGCAATGTTTTTAATGCAACACCTTGATTGATAAATTTGGTAGAACATAATTAATGGAAGAGATAATATTAAAGAAAACAGTAGAAAGACATAGAAATGAATCCAGGACAGCTTTGACATGTGGCTTGCTATAGAGAAAACTATGGAAATGATCTGGGAGAGCAATTGGAAATTTTTTTAAATGTCGGGACAAATAAACAACATTTGACAATTTGAATGTGACTGAAAGATGGCAAAGCAGAGGAAAAACTGAAAGAAGATTGGGTGAAATCAAGTCTCCTCCAGGTAATGTGGGATTTAACAAGAAGATCATAGATCTTCTGATACATGGCTGCTTGTGATGTTACAATGCAGCAGCCCTCTCACTCGAGAAAATAGATAGCTAGAAATATGCATAGACAAATATATATAGACAGATGATTAGTTTGCCTTTGTAATTTACTCCAAATCTTGGCATTTTGTTAAGCCATTGTAGATTAAGGGGTGGGTACAGGGTTTCGTTTCAAATTAATATTTTAAACTTAAATTACTTGAATATGCATAGATAATTCTCAACATAGAAAAACAAAGAAGAAAAATGAGGGTGGATAAGCATGTTACACTTCCTCCTAATTCTACCAGTCGAGTGAGCACCTTCCAACTTTCAGTGCCAATTGTATTTAATTTAGCATGTAACAACACCTCCAAACGAAACGCCTCCCAGTTTTTCTTTATTTTAGCATTCCTTTCAGTTTCTTTTTCTCTTTTTTTGTTGGGGGTATTCAAATATTCTACTAACACGGAGAGAAAAGATGAGCACTCTATGTCGGCAGGATGCACCCACAAAACACATCTTTGTGTAATTAATAGATTGCTTGCTCAAGTTTTTCAAATTTCCTACCTCAGGCTTGGCATTTAGGGCCACCTCAAACTGCTTCAAGAGCTCCGGTGGAGATGTCTGGTCGATTTCAGCTCCCAGTACTGAGATTGGAACCTTCACCCCTAAAAATCAAACTAGCTGTTAATGACTCAACAATAACCAAATTACTAATTTTCCATACCCAACAGAAAACTAAAGAAGAATGTAATGATCCCCACGAGGAAAGAGTCGGGAAGGATAAAAAAGGAAATTATGGAGACAAATATTTAGACCTGTGTGTTCAAAAGAAAACTGAAGAAACATTTCAACTTGCCAACAGAATGTTTCAGGCGGCCTACTTCAAGCGCCTGAATCAAATTCTTGATTCAACAAATGGAAATAAGAAAATTATCTTGGATGTAGTATAGTAAAGGAAGTATACCATGTATGTCATCTAAAGTGACCAATGAAGGATGTAACATCACTGCAGCATCGATATAAGCATACTTTGCCAGTTCCACAACCACCTTGGCTGATAAGAATTCAAGAAATTTAATTTTAGTCAAACAATGATGTTGAAAATATGTATTAATATATCCTTGTAATTGTTTGTTGCACGCATATCTTATTGCAAAAGTGGACTTCAGAAAAAAAAATTCACCTCCCCAACAAAAGCCTGCAGCTCCGATCTTAGTTACTCCCTTACTTTTCAGAGCTTTGATGACTGGCTTTGCATCTTCAAACCCTTGATCCTGTGGAAACAGCAATGCTTTAAGAGGCTAAAGTTTTTACAGTACTGCTTATTTAATACTATAGTGGAGTTTGGGAACTAAAAGGCCCACGCTTTCAAAGACTAAAGAAATGTCGCCACTTCTCAGCAGAAAACAGACATGAATGGGCCAGCTGATCCCAAAAGTCCACAACATGAAATTTAGTTTGACTGGTGACTGATTATAGGCATGCATTAAGATAATAACTAACCGGTCCATGATTTTTTAACCACCCTAGCAAAGGCTTCTCGGCAATTTCAGTTGCATAGGGATCTCCGTGGAAGAAGTCAGGGACCACTACATAGAATCCAGCAGCTGCAACTTTGTCTGCAAGCTTCCTTTATAGTTGAAAACTGGTGAAGTTAGTTTCCAGAAGTGTACATGTAAATGGGTTTCTAGGGCTACAAATGCTTTAGTGTCTTGTACATACCCACCCTAGTTATGTTAACAATACAGTTTGGTACCTATTTAACAAAATACACAGTGGGGATGAAATGCAAATCACTAAATGCCAAAAATCACTAAGCAAGTTATATAATGGAGCTTCTAAACAACTATGTTTAACAATTAAAAAAAATTTACACACACCCTGAAATGTAACATTTGAACAGCCCTAGAGGTCAAAAGAGAAGGAGAAAAAACTAAATAAAATGTAGTGAACAAAAAAACTCGTTCAGTAAGGAAAAACTTCGCTTCTTCAATGTGAAATAGCAACCTGTTTTTCAGATTCAAGCAAATTAGGTTGGTTAACAATCATGTGAAGAGATTGTAAAACCAAAATAACCAACGAAATAGGTAAAATTCACCCAGCTTTTTAGGGTGTTTGAAAAGTTGAGCAGCTAAACTTGCCAAATCTCTTCAGCGGGGGTGGAACTACATGGCCATTTGTGGGGGCAACTGTCTTCCCCTACTCAATTTGTTTCACAAAAAAAAAAAATTAAATGGGTATTAATATATTTTAAAATTTTCCCCGTGAAAAAAATTTCAAACACTAAATCTGCTTGATCATCTCTCTAGTTTGGAATGAGATTGTCATGTAATATTTCCTGATCAGAAAATTGTCACGTAATATTTCCTAATCAAAAAGTTATCACGTAATATTTCTGGATCAAATGATTGTCACGTAATATTTTAAAATTTTAAAAACAAGTCTGGAACAATTGTAAATGTATTGAATAGAAATGTTACAATTAATATTTAAGTTTTTACATTTATAAGTAGTTTAATTTTTGTATCTTCTAATTGTTAAAATTTGTCCCACTACGTTAAATTTATGGCCCCGCCCCTGCTTATCAATGTGTCACGTATCCCCTCCACCAGATGCACTCATGCACATACGCATACAAACACGAACTTTCATGCATGTACTAAGGTATGAGAACATTCTTGCATGCACACACACATACACACATACAAATACACATTCATTAATGCGCAAGCATGCAGTTCCATACAAACTTAAGTACTACTGCAGTTCTGCTCCAAGTTAGTTTTCCAACAAATTCAAAAGTGCGTAGGAGTTCTCTTATTCTATGTCATGAGAAACTTTGGAACAATATGATACTAACCCAGAGGAGGCCATAAGGCCAACTAACATTTTTCTCTATAAAAAACAGAGCATCTGGAATGATATAAACAGCAATATTTTAAACATTCTAGTGAATTTCAAATATTATTTTTCTGACAATGGCAATGCCAGAAGTCCATCGGAATGATATCTACATTTGGATACTCAAAACGTCGAAAGAATAGCTATTTCACTTTCTTGCACTTAATGTACTTTTCAAATAACTATGGAATTATACGTGCCTTGGCATAAGTAACATGAACATCAAAATGTGACAAGAAAAAGCTTGATAGATGAATATTTCTAATCATCCAGGCCTACGATTTATCTTTAAATTTTTCCTTCCTATTACAGTACAAAATGGGATTCTATTAACTCCTATCAGGTATTAAGATTTGGAACTAAGGACATAAGCAAACATTGGATGGCTCTCTTTTGATGGCATCTAAATAGCATGCTTTCAATTTACCATAGCACCAAAGGACTAAAAAGCCATAGATTAGGTAGATTTAAGCTCACAATACTTAAAAGAAGGAAAGCATTTAAGAACATCCTAGCAACAAGAAAAAGAAAAAATGTAATATTGTCTCACAAACTGGGTTGAGATGAATCATACCTTAAGTTTGGAGGTTCATAACCTGCAACATCAAACAATACATAAAATTAGTATTGAGACAGTGATGAGGACAATTAGTAGCAAGTAGACATGATTCAACTGACAACCTCCTTTAAGTCCATTTTCCATTCCAATTCCAACTAAACCGTACCAGAAACAAATTGTCATAAGGAAAAAGGATAATTACAAAACAGAAGTTATCAAGAATAAGGATGTGGAAGCAATTTTTATATGAAGAAAATTATTTTCCTTTCAAGAAACCATTTTTAAACAACAACAAAAATAAAAAAGACAAGAGGAGATGTTTCCCCGGCACAAAGTAAAGCCACAAAACTTCTAAGAATTGATATCACGGATTGACGATCAGTTTACTTGGTCATAACGAAACTTCTAATGCTATTGGCAGTATTAAAGATAATTATCGCTTGATAATCGAAACAATAACCTTAAATTCACATTAATCCCTTCGATAACACCAAGCATGCATCAATTAACCAAATGCTACTTGAATTATCCATCAACAACACTCATAAACAATCAAATACCAATAAAATTGATCAAAAAGACTCCACTAGACACCAAATACAGAAATACCAAGAACAAAAAACTGAACTATACACCAAATATATACATAAATTTTGAACTGGGTAAGTACCAAAAACGTCAGACACGAGAATAACAGCAAGTTTTGA